TCATCACCCACCTTCGCCTCGTAAATGGTTGGATTTCCGTAAACCGCTCTGTCTAATTGCATCAGTGGCTATAGTTACTTCCAACTCGCAAGTTTCTATGCATGCAGAAGCCTTAGATAGCAGCTCACGATCCTTTTATGCTCTTCCTGCTTCATGACCCCCGAAAATCCAATGAATGAGTTAGGTTTTTGATGGTACACTCGACAGAACAATGATTCGACTTTTTCTCTCAATGATTCAACATCTTCCTATACAAACGCGGCCCATTTCCGGTCCATGACAGACGGGTCTTCCGGGCTGTACGTTGTCTCACCACCCACACACATTTCAACGTCACAATGACAGCTCATTCGCATTCACATCCATTGCGTTCAAATTTTTTCAGCAGGGTTGCGATTGAGTACTGGCTCAAAGCGAACTGAACAAAGGGAAGGGTAGAAGTGTGAAGGTCGACTCGACAAGCCTTACTTATCATGATAACGAGCAATATGATATTTTGAGGAGGTATGCTGGAGTTGGAAGGGGCCATAGTTAAGAAGGGTTGCGCCGGGGTCAGAATTCAGCACAACTTGAGCTCTTTCACTTTATTTAGACCGAAAGAAGCCAACTTATCCAAGTTCAAAAAGTTCCTGAAGTCTCTGGTTAATTCTAAAGTTCCCGAGGGATCAGAACTCAATATTTACCAAGCAGTTGGCCTTATAAAGAGGATGAAGCCCAAGTATGCATACGTTGATGCGGCAGATTGACGTCAGAGCGTTCCGCCCAAGCAATGTACATTGACTGATTACATACGGGAGTCCAATGAACGGACGGACACACACAATTACTTTTTTGCCCCGCCCACTGGGAAAATTTTTCACACCCACTTAACTTACCGGGTTTCTAATGAAGCTGTCAACGCACGAGAAAAAAGACCTATGTTTGCTCGAAATGAATCCTTCTCTTATTTCTCCAATACATTCTGCAGTTTGTTTGAACTGATCGCCTTTTCACTTTTCTTTTTTTTGCTTGTTTTTGTTGCTACATCACCTCAGATGGCTGTAGAAGCACAAGTACGCACTCAACTGCCTTAACGATTCGGACAAGAAGTCTGGTCGGCATCGGGCTCATTACCCCCTTATTTATTTCACCTATTCCACCTTTATTATTAAAAAGACAGTTACTGTTTCTTCTTACCCCGCAAAGATTGCGAAAGCGGCTAGTGGTTCTTCGTCGGAGATGTTTGATCCATGGATCGAATCCCGCTCTGACCAAACAAGCTTTCAGGGTCGGCTAAACATTAATGGGACCAGTCGGGAAGGGGTCAACGTAAAATCTGTAGCTATAGACCTTTGTTTTGAATGTATGGAGTTTGAAAGATCGCTTCACATGCGCTCGGTGCTTGCATATGGAACGAGCGGCATGGCGCTATCCGGAAGAGGTGATATGGTTGAGGCGAAAGCATGTGGGCTGCTTGTCGCGCCGCTTACAGTAAACGGTGCCAAAAGGGACATGCGTGGACCAAGGGGAGCGAAGGCAATTTAGGGGGGCGTGGCGGGTACGCGACCCAATGTGGCAAAAGTTTGAATGTTTGAAAGCGTCGCGCCGCCGCGTGCCCCCCCCGGTTCGACACCGAGTTTTTTCGGCCGATGCTGGGTTTTTTTTTTTTGTCCCTTTTGTTTTCTATACTCTTGAACAGGCATATTAAAAAAATGATTGCCAGTGAAATGCCCAGATATTGGTCGTGGCCGCAGGACCACATGGGAACGAAGTTATTACGCAATATCTATGCGACGCGCGTCATCAGTCGATTAACATTAAACTGTGGTGATCCCTGGGGGGTCAGTGCGTGCGGTCTATGTGGACGTTCGTGCGAGTGTTTGTGTGTTTGTGTGTGTGCAGAAATGCGTCCGTGCGAAAACCAACGTCGAGCTTCCCCCAGCACGTCATTCAGCCCCCCGTCCGTGGCCCGTCACGGGCGGGTTTCGACGACGGGTTTCGTGATCGATCCTCTGAAGCTGTTTAGGAAGCGGCTTATCAATCTTCGTCGCGGCCACGCATGCTTGGAAATTCCCGTCTTCTTCGAATTCACCTGCTAGGAGAAAAACGAGGGCGATCGATACTTTGGGTGGGGACCATGACATCACCACATCGATCCTGGTCCTGCGCTTTTGTACTTCTTCCACTGGTGTCTGGAAACCCTCCGTAGAGATCCGAGGGAACCTGCTTCGTTGAACGTCGATTTGGTGCCCGGGCGTTATCTAATCGCTCGCCGGGTTTCGCCCTGTATCGATTCGTTTGTTTGTAAAAGTTTTCAGGGACAATAATTACTAATTTACGCTGCTTTCATTATTTCATTCTGTTTCTCATATTTGCTATTCTCGGTTTATTTTTTTTCTTTTGATGAGTGGCGATTCGTTTGGTCCCTGTGTTTGCTTTCGATCGTGGAGCAGCCATATCGCAAAACATGACTGGAATGCTTTCCCTAGTTTCATACATGTTATCGATGATAAATTTATAACTTGTCAGAATGATTACTGTGTTGAAAATCATTTCGTAACTATCCACATGAAAATGATTCATCATTGTCATCACCTCTGTGTCTGTTTCTCTTGACAAGCGCAGTTCTCGATCAGTTTTTCTCATCGCCGAATGGAATTCTTCTGTTTTCGTTTTTCATATCTGCGCACATTTGTCTCACAATAAAGCTGCTGCTCAACGCCGACAGATCGATTCTCGGGGCTTAGACTCGTAGTCGGTAGACGTTCGTTTTCGTTTCAGGTTCTTAAACCGGGAAGTGTGCCGTATTACACGAGCACGTTGATGGGCAACTGTATACACAGCTGTACAGGTAATCATCAATGTTACGTTTTATTGCGCAATAAGCTGATGATCTGTTTCGTAAGAATCACATTACTAATGCTGACGTATCGTTCCAAGCGCGCTTGCACGATTCTTTCACATTCGTACTTTTTGGCTTCGCGTGTGATTTTCACAAAGTTTATTTTAGTGCTTTTGTAATGGCTAATTGATCTCGGATAATCTCACAGTATACATCTAAACTTTTGTACTCTAAAATCGCTAGTCTTGATTCCACGCATCCATGCGGTGTTCCCGAGCAGTGGTTGCCAGCATCTAAGATTAGGTTAATGGACCACTTAAAAAATATGTAGCAATAGTATTAATAGGTAGAAGAACATTAGGATGTTCCGTTGAAAAGCTTTGTTATCGAAGTAACCTGCTCAGTAGTAGCGGCGATGAATAGAGATAGTAGAAGCGCGATGTCAGACTTGCGAATCGCGCGATTCGCTAGCGTCCGCGGTCGCGTTGCGGTACCAGCCAATTGAGTGATTCACTGGCCGCGACGCGACCGCAGACGCTAGCGAATCGCGCGATTCGCAAAGTCTGACATCGGCCTAATTGGTGTCATAGTCGGCATGATGTCGACTGATTGCAGCGATCATGCGATGATCACTCATGCGCCAGTTCTGCTATGATGGTGAATTGTGTTGAAATGAAGTCTATATCCAGTGCAGGGGGATTGCGTGCGGCAGTCTGCTCTAATGCAGCTTGCTCAAGGAGTCCTTTAAAGTTACAAAGAGCTTTTTTCCTACGTTGTTTCTTCTGGTCTTTGTATAATGTATGTGCTTTGTAACATAAACTTCAATGAAAGTTATATTTACCTAGTGATGAGCTTATGGTCTGTAGCTTGAAAGTTGGAGGAATCCCTTCTCCGAAAAGCAGAAGATTGCCGAACGAGACGGGATTTCCATCCTGAGGCTATTACCAGGAAGGTCGTTCGAAGGTGTGGAACTTTTTTAAAATAATTTCTTCCGTGACATTGGAGCACATGTGGGGACCACAGAAGCATGGTTCATTTTTTCCTGAACGGCCCTCTGAGTCTCGCGGTCATTGCCGATATCGGCTAACCGGCTCAACACGTTAGACGTGTGAGTGCTGAAAAGTTTGGTAGCATATCTGTCGACAAGTCGACGATACTTCAAGTGATATATTTGGATTATTGAATCTGTTGTTTTTGATTGATTTAAAAATATGATGTGCATTACATTTTTTCTTATGACTCATCGTTTCATGTAACTTCTTTGAGATGTTGTGGAAATTCTAGCTCGTGGGTGCCGATTATGTTGTTAGATTCTTAAAAGATATGCTCGCCATACAGTATAAAAGGAGGTGAGGAGAAGGAGCCTGGCAGTTTCCGCTTCAACCACAAGTGCTTCACAAGTTCGCCTAGAAAGAGAAAAACCACAAGTGCTCCTTCGCCTCACAAGTGGAAATTGTAGGTCGATTATTGATTTGTCATAAAGCTGTGCATCAGTACAGTGTTAGGAGCAGTGGAAAAAGTCCCGCGTGGCAGTGTGAACAAGACAAGCTATTCAGAATAGCTGGCGACCAAGTACCTAGGAAACCGAACCGCCGATCCCTTTCATGGTGCATCGAGCAGTAGACGAAACCAGGTCAGTTGAAATCTCTTCCTAGGTGAACAAGTGCGAAGCATTTTCCTAGGTGAACAAGTGCGAAGCATTTTCCTAGGTGAACAAGTGCACTCAAGTTCTCTAATAGTCCCAAGTGCATCGTTTCTATTCTCTTAAGCCATACAAGTGCGCTTTCATAAGCTTTTTTTTTCTGACAATTCCGTACAAGTGTGTCGGTTCCATACGCGGATATCTAACCCCTACTATGGCGTTTCAACTTACAACCCCCAAGCGTTTACTTACTATGTACTCCAATAGGTTGGAGACTGCGGTTGCTCGCTTTAAGTCAGAAAAAATTGAAGCGCTCAATGTTGCCGCAGCAGATGGCGACAATCGGAACACATTCATGAGAGAAAGCATGCAAAGGCTAGAGGAAGCGATAGGGGCTTTAGAGGAGGCCGGTGGTAAGATCCGAGAACTGTTACAGGAGTATGCGGAAACCCTCAGTTCACTAGAGAACCCGCCAGAAAAAGAAACGAAAGACTTTGAGGAATACACCTCCAAGGCGGAAAAGTCACTGGTCATAGCCTTTGACTATATCGTCCTGCTCCAAGCTCGCTTAAGAGCTTTCAAGTCCTTCAAGGGTGAGTCAGGGCTAACACCCCCGACTCCAGTGCTACAAGTTCCCTCCACACCACAAAAGGTAGAGCTCCCCACGATACCAATCCCCTTTTTCAAGGGAAATATCTGGGAATGGGATAACTTTTGGGAACTTTTCAATGCGAATGTACATTCACAAGACATGCCCGCTCTCTTCAAATTCAATTACCTTTTGAATGCTCTCAAGGGAGAAGCGCTCGAATTGGTGCAGAAATTTCAAGTGACGGCAGAAAACTATCCGAATGCGATAGAATTTTTGAGGAACAAGTATGGCAACGCAGAGGAACTCGTTTTTCGACTGATCGACAAGCTCGAAAGCTGCTCTTTGCGATCGCCTGCCATACGAGATCAACGGACACTCTTTGAACAGATACAAGCCGTAGTGGAACAACTGAAAAGAAAGAACGAAGAGGTGAATAGTCAATGGCTGCTGAAAAAGATTCTGGGCAAGTTTCCACAGCACATACAACGAAAGGTGCTGATGAAAAAACAAGCAGAAAATTGCGACTTCACTATGGAAACGCTTTTGAGATATCTAGAGGATATCATTTCAAGTGAAGAGATGATCTCCATCTACGTCGGACGACCATCGTCACCGAGAACTCAGGAACGGAATGAGTATCAGAAGAAACCATTTCACAAGCCTCTTAATACTTGCATGTATTGTGGCAAAAATCACAAATCAGGAGAATGCGACAAGTACAAATCTCCACAAGAGAGATCTAACTATCTTCGGGAAAGGAAGCTTTGCCTGATTTGTGCTTCACCTCGTCATGCGACGGCTCTATGTAGGAAACCTCCCTGTTTCAAGTGCAAGAAGCCGCATCACACCTCCTGCTGCTTCCAGTTTGAGCAAAGGCAACAAGTAGGGACAGAAGTTAAGAAGGATGGTAATAAGAATGGACGAGGTACTGTAAGTGCAAGGCAAGGTCACAAGGCTGATAAAGGCACAGTGGAGGTCAACAACGTAGGCCAAGAGAGTACTTCGGAAGAAGAAGCAAGCATCCTGGAATTGCACTCAGAGAGACTCTCCGTTCAGGCACATAACACCTTTTTGCCCACGGGACAAGCAACAGTTCTTGACACGAACACTAAGGTTATGAGAAGAATTACGGTACTGTTGAACACAGGAGCACAAGTCTCGTTCATAGATGCCACGTTCGCCGAAGAACTTC